GTGGATTGCTAACTTTAGTGACCAAAATAGTAGAGGACATTGGTGAAAATTAACCAGTATCTTACAAAATTAGGATTCAGAAGATTCATCAATCAACAATTTAATGACAATAGGAAGCAGACTCCCAACAACATAAACTGTCTATCAGTTCCCATTTGAAAAGTTGGTGTCTGAAGATTTTCACACTGATGTTTAGGATAACTCAGTATGAAGCTCATCTTTGAGCTTCCTCACACTTGATTCAGTTCATTGTCTTTGAAGTTTGTTGTGGCATCTTGAAATGCACTAATTGACTGCTACAATTCCTGCAATTCGCCAGTGAGTACACATTAGTAAAATAAAATACTCCATTGGCTGTGAAGTGCTTTGAGATGTCATGGCATTATGAAAGAAGCAACATAAGTGCATGTCTGTCTTTTCTGCATACAAACAGTCACATTTCTGTGGAAACAATTCATCTTTTGAGATTACTATTTGAATCAAGATTCTAAGCAAAAGAAGTGAGTAGCCATGATGGTTCCCTGCTTAACACAATCATGCTACATCAAATTGGCTGGTTGATGGGAGATTGCTTTCCATTGTCCATTTCTAGAAATGTAGCATATAATATTAATTTCTAGGACAGCAGACGTTTCAATTCTAAATGGTTGTTTTACACCAAATGAAAGAACCTATTTGTTACACACACCCAAATTTTATTTGATGCTCCTGTTTCTTCAATGAGGTTTGTTTGCATTTTCTTTGTGACAGGCAGAACCATTAATCCTTGTATCAGATCTCTTTAACTGGAAGTTCTTAAAAATCTCCTGCTCAATCATAACCATTTGCTCTTGGAACAGCTGATTTGATTTGATGTGATTTATTATTATCACATGTACTGAGATACAGTGAAAAGTATTGTTTTGCATGGTATCTAAACAAATCACACCTTACATAAATATATCATGGTAATAGAACAGAACACAGAATATAGTGTTATAGCTACAGAGAAGATGAGTTCACAAATCATCGAACAACTACAAGACAAGAAATTAATATTAGAACTTGCAGTTAGATATTGCAAAGCAATCAAAACCAATCAAACTTTACCACAGATAAACAGCAAACACCCTGACTCCATGGAAAAACTGATCTGTTACTCATGATTTTCACAATCATTGAGGTTTCAAACATTTATGGTTGTGGAGACAAAGAGTTCAGGCTAACAACCTGCTCCTTAGCCTGCCCTATACACCACAATCTCTCTGCGAGCCCAAATTGAGTTTCTGTCACCTATAGAGAATGCTGGATGTGCCTTGGATTGTGAGCTGAAGTAAATCTTCTCATATGAGAGAGAGATCAGGGGTGTATCTGTGGCAATCCTTATTCAAACACCAATGCACAAGCTCATTTCGGCACATGTTTCACATTTTTTTGGGCAAAATGATGCTTCCAGTGGGACTATCTGCACTGTAGTAACAGTACTAACTTAAGCTAAGATTGCTCAGGGTTATCTCTTTCACTTCTGAGTCAGTGGATCATGGGCTCAAATCCCATTTGATACTGTTAGTCCCTGTGCCCCATTTGTATGATTCTAGAGGGGACACCCCCAAATCGTTACACTCCTGGATGAGGTCGGAGGAATTAGATCCCTTTCTTTATTCAAACTCCTCCTCTTACCTCAGTTAGTCACAACAAGGTTAACTTAACACAAAGGATTCTTTCCCTCATGGATACATTTTCTATTTCCAATATCTTTACGTGTTATTAGGAGTTAATTTAACCAGACTCTCTTGGATTAAGGAAAGAGTGAGTTTATTAGTTACTAAAATGCAAGGAATAATAATAAAGCACAACACATATGCTCACAGATCAGAAATGATTAGAACTTAATGATTAGAACTATGGACGTACCAATCAGACTTGGTTTGTTTAAGGTGAGTAAATTGTGAGATTTTGTGACTGGTAACTTAAGTGATTCCAGTAGCATTGATCTCAGCAGTTAAGCAATTTGTCTGGCAATTCTTAGTTCTGTCAGGTAGCCAAAGGGAGTTATCCTGCTTTCTTGTCAATAGCAGATTTGCAAATTTTGCAACTTGCTTCTAGCAATCAACCAGAGCAAGCGATTTTTTCTTTTACCTGCATGAGCAGGGGTGCCTAGTGGATGTTCCTCCGTTGTGATCTATGCAGCACACACCAGCCCCAACACTAGACCGTCAGGTTGTGGTTTGTTTTATTTAACCCTTCTGCTGGTAGTCCTGAAAAGGGAAAACACAAACATATTGTTACCCAGAACTTTCTTTTACCTCGCATCATGTCCACAGTCTCAGATGCAACTCATAGGAGATAGCTTCTGTTGAGGAGGTAATCATCCCCCATTATTTCTGCATCCACAGAAGATTACAATTCAGTTTTTGCAGTGTATCACCTTCATTTGAAGTATCTCTGTTTGAAGGTTCTTGGCACCCTCCAGGTGCATCATTTCCTTGTTTCTTTTGGGACTAGGTGTAATCTGCTCAGCAATCTTCCAGACAGTCACTTAATTTCTCAGAATTTACATTCCCGCCATCTTTGGCTTGTATTGTCCTTTTTATTTAGTTTTTTTTACCAAAACATCTGTCTTACCTAAAAGTTCATATGTCCATAAATAATTTGGGATTATGATCCATTGCCATGACACATTCCAGAGACTTGAGGAGACATTTAGGGTGACACTTCATAAAGAGCGTAATGCTGCACTATCAGAGATGCCATCCTTTAGATATTAAACTGATGCTTGTCTCCCCTCCCAAATGAAAATTTCAATGGTGCTCTTGAATGAAGAACAAGTTAGTTTTCAGATCACAGTTATCCCTCAACCAATATCACAAACATAGATGATCTGGTCATTTATCTCACCAATGTTTGCTATGTGCAAATTGACTGATATGTTTCATAAGAACATATTAGGAGCAGGAGTCAAACAAACAGCCCTTCAACCCTCTTTCACCATTCAATATGACCATAAATGCTTCCCCACTCTATCCCCATTGATTCTGTTATTATCAAAAATTTATTAATACTCATCTTGAATGTACTCAATGACTGAGAATCCACTGCTGTCTGGCATAAAGAATCCACTTTGTGTGTAAAAAGTTATCTTGATCTTAGCCCTATATAGCAGACCACTTGCCTGATGTCTCCTAGCTCCAGTCTGTCTTACCAAGCAAAGCAGCCTCCCCATATCTATCTTGTCAAGTCTGTGAATAATGTCCTTAAGTTGCCTCGCATTATTCCGAACTCTAGACACCATTGACCCATTATAGACAATCTCTCTCCAAGGACAAACCTCACATCTAAGCCTTTGTTTCATGTCTCTAAAGCAAGTATATCCTTGCTAACGTAAGGAGACCAAACTTTACACTGTATTGCAGGTGTGATCTCACCAAAGCCCTATGAAATTGAAGTAAAATATGTTTGTTCCTATAATCAAAACCCCTTGCAAAATATTACTGTACCTTTTGCCTGAGTAATTAATTTCTGTACTAACTTTAACTTTCTGTGATTCATATACAAGGGCACCCAAGTTTTTTTTGTGTACCAGTATTTATTAGTCTCTCACTTTCTAGAAAATATTCTGCTTTCATATTTTTTCCACTAAAGTGCCCTCATTGTTATCTGTCTATCTCCATTTGCAGCCTCTCTGTGCCTTCCTTGCTGCTTACTTTTCTATTTCTTTGCTTAATGGACAAACATGAATAAGATCCACCAGGGCCCATCATCAAAGTAATTGATATAGATTTTTTTATATAATTCCACAGGATTTGAACAGCAGTGGTAGGCCAGCTTTTTTTGTCCATCCCTAATTGCCCTTGAGAGGTTATGGAAAGGCATCTTTTTGAACCTTTGCAATCCATGTGGTGCAGTGACATTCACAATGCTGTTAGGAAATGATTTCCACAATTACGATCGAGTGACAGTGAAGGAACAGCACCATAGTTCCAAGTCAGTATGGCGTGTGGCTTAGAGGAGAATTTGCAGGTAAAGTTGCGGGTTTAGAAAGTACTGTCAAAGGAGCCTTAGTGAGTTCCTGCAGTGCATCTTGTAGATGGTGCACACTGCTGTTGTGAGAATCAGAGGTGGAGTTCAGGCTTAAGAACTGATCCTTGCATGAATCTATTACTTACACATACCCTGCATCCTGAAAATGATCAAGATATCATACACTTTGTTAACTATTCCTCAACCCATGATATTACAGCAGCAGCTATATTTCAAAAATACTATAATACCACCTAAAGATGTGTGACGTGCTTTACCAATGTAAATTATTTTTGTTTTTAAAATATATTGTACGCGCTGCTTGTTTTGTTTAAGGTTCATATGCTGCAAAGTTGGCAAATAAAAAATAGTTATAGAACAGCCTAACAAATATCTGAAGTATGATTTGCAGTGTACTTTTAATAAAAGAAATCGTACAACTGTGAAATGATCAAATTAAATTTAATTCAATCCTATTCATATCTGTATTTAAAGTTTTGGAGCCTTTTTCATCTAACTCTGCCTAGCAGTAAGGAGGGGGAATGGGATTAATTATGTTCAACCAAGGGCCAACTGAGAGATTGCTGCAAATTGCCCCCACTTATTACATTCTTAATTGGCACTGCTGCTGAAGCATTGCCAACAGATATGGGCTCAAAGACTGGATCAAACTGGTACATTTTGGTAACAGCCTGCCCTTATTTTGTATTGGAGCTGTTAGTCACCGTGATACTATTAGCAAAATAACATAGGCCCTTAGCTGACAAAGGGACACACCCAGAACACTAATGAGTTCATTTTTTTGCAAATACTGAGTGATCTCTGCATTTGCAATACATTCTGTTTTTCATTTGCAAATTTATGGTTTTTCACCATATGGGCTTTTATTTTGGTTCTGCCAATTCTAAAAGCACTGATGTTTTCAGTTTAAAATTCTAACAGCTGATGACAACATGTGACCTCAAATGCTGACTTAATGCTGTAACTGGATGCAAAGCAAATGCATTTCTTTACTGTGAAATTAGACTGAAGCTAATACAGCAGTTTAATAAGTTTAAAATATATCAGGAGATACTTTCCAAAGAATGTTATCCAAAGGATCTTTAGTCCTATGTACTGAAAATGTGACAGAAAGCTGAGTAGAACTGCCTACAGGTAAGGTTGCCACACCTATTACATGAACAGTACAACATTCTTCTTGACAATCTTCAGCTGATAAACACCCACCCTCAGCTTTGCCTAGTGCTACTGCACTAAGCACAAAGCTGGCTGCTGTCTTAACGTTTGTCCTTTTCCGTGCTTTCTTTCTTCCTGGCCCTGCAGCTGATGTTTGCGGTGTGATAAACTGCATTACTCTCATTAATGGTGGCTTCTATATTTTCCATAATACAGTCATTGTCCTTGCTTTAAAAATTGGGCAGATATTCAATAACCTGATGCACTTTTTTCGCTTTCAGGGTTTTAAATGACAGCTAAAGCATTTCTTAAAAGTCCTCTATTGTTTATGGTATTTAGTGATAATACTTTGTAAATTAAGCAGCTTATAGAAAAACAAAGTGATTTACCTGTACCAAGTAAGTATGGTTGCCAATTTTTCACTGCAAGGCATTTATTCAATTGAAAAATTTATGACATTCTTTTATATTTAAATGAAATCAAAATTATAGGCATTTTTGTCAATGTTCCTCTCTGCAGGAGGTCCTGATTTTGATCGGGAGTGTTCCGTTGATGCTGCCAACACTGCAGCACCTTGTTCCATTTTATCATTCTTTGTGCATGAGCCTGCGCAGTGAATGCCAACTCTTGTAAGTCTACCTTGTCTTTACAGTAGCAAACTTTAAGGATAAACTTTAAAGAAAGATTGGGACTGTCATAATGTTAAGGGCTTGGACGGGAAGGAATTTGTTGAGGTCATACAAGAAAACTTTCTTATTCGATATGTATATGTACCTACTAGAGAAGGAGCAATACTTGACCTTCTGTTGAGAAATTAGGCATGAACTAATCAAAAAGTTAAAGTTCTAAATTGGAGTAAGGCAAATTTTGACAGTATTAGAGAGGAAGTTTCAACAGTTTTTTGGGGGAAACTATTAGCAGTAACGGAATGTTTGGGAAGTGGGAGGCCTGAGACAATGAGAGTTCAGAGACAGTATGTTCCTGTCAGTGTGAAGGGCCATGCTGGTAGGTGTAGGGAATGCTGGATAACTAAAGAAATTGAGGCTCTGGTCAAGAAAAAGAAGGAGGCATATCTCAGAATAGACAGCTGGGATCAAGTCAATCCCTAGAGGAGTATAAGGGCAGTAGGAGTATATTTAAAGGGGAAGTTGGGAGGTCAAAAAAGGGACATGAGATGGCTTTGGTAAACTGAGTTATGGAGAATCCAAAGAGATTCTGTAAGTACATTAAGGGCAAAACAGTAACTGGGGATAGAAAGGTCAACATGTCTGTCTCTGAGTGGAACCACAGGAGATGGATGAGATACTAAATGAATATTTCATGTCAGTATTTACTGTTGGGAAAGTCATGGAAGCTAGAGAACTTGGGGAAATAAATAGTGATGTCTTGAAAAGAATTCATATTACAGAAGAGGAGGTGCTGGAGGTTTTAAAATGCATAAAGGTTGATAAATCCCTGTGACTTGATCAGGTGTTCCCAAAAAAAAATTGTGGGAAGCTGGGGAAGAGATTGCTGGGCCCCTTGCTGAGATATTTATATCATCAACAGCTGTGGATGAGGAACCAGAAGAGTGGAGGTTGGCTAATGTGGTGCCATTATTTCATAAAGGCTGTAAGGAAAATCCAGGGAACTATGATCCGGTGAGCCTTAGTGGTGGGTAAGTTGTTGGAGGGGATTCTAAGGAATGGATTTATTTGCATTTGGAAAGGCTAAGACTGATTAGGGATAGTCAATACGGCTTTATGTGTGGGAATTGTGTCTCACTAACTTGATTGAGTTTTTTGAAGGTGTGACAGAGAAGATTGATGAAGCCAGAGTGATAAATATTGTCTATATGGACTTCAGCAAAGAATTTGACAAAGTTCCTCATTAGTTAGTAAGGATAGATCACATGGGATCTGGGGGAGCTCGCCAGTTGGATACAAAATTGGCGTGCAGTTAGGAGACAGAGGGTGGTGGTGGAGGTTTGCCATTTGGACTGGAGGTCTGTGACTACTGGTGTATCACAGAGATCAGTGCTGGGTCCACTGCTTTTCATCACTTATATAAAAGATTTGGGTGTGAATATAGGAGGTATGGTTAGTAAGTTTGTAGATGACACCAAAATAGGTGGTGTAGTGGATTGTGAAGAAGATTATATCAGAGTACAATGGAATTTTGATCAGATGGGCCAATGGGCTGAGGCATGGCAGATGGAGTTTAATTCAGATAAATGTAAGTTGGTTCATTTTGGTAAGGCAAATCAGGGCAGAACTTACACAATTAATGGTAGTGGCCTGGGATGTGTCGCCAAACAAAGACACCTAGGGGTACAGGTGCACAATTCCTTGAAAGTGGATTCACAGGTAGTCAGGATGGTGAAGAAGGCATTTAGCACGCTTGCCTCCATTGGTCAAGGCATTGCTTATAGGCGTTGGGACATCATGTTGTGGCTGTACAGGACATTAGTGAGCCCACTCTTAGAATACTTGCGTACAATTCTGGTCACCCTTCTATCGGAAAAATGTTGTTAAACTTGTACAGAAAAGATTTACAAGGATGTTGCTGGGACTGGAGAGTTTTGAGTTATAGGGAGATGCTGAATAGGCTGGGATTTTTTTTTCTGGAGCATCTGAGGCTGACGGGTGACCTTATAAATATTTATAAAATCATGAGGGACATAGATAGAGTGAACAGCTAAGGTCTTTTCCCTTGGATTGGGAGCCCAAAACTGGAAGGCATAGGTTTAAGGTGAGGGGAGAAAGGTATAAAAAGGACCTGAGGGGTAACATTTTCATGCAGTGGGTGGTACATGTATGGAGCAAGCTGCCAGAGGAAGTGGTGGAAATGGCTACAATTTCAACATTTAAAAGGCATCTGGATGACTATATGAATAGGAAGAGTTTAGAGGGATATTGGCTAAATTCTGGTAAATAGCATTAGGTCAGATTGGGATGTTTAGTCAGCATGGACAAGTTGGACGAAAGGGTCTGTGTCCGTGCTGTATGATTTGATGACTCCATGTGTTGTGTGTATGCAATGTTAAGATTCCGCCTGCCAGTAGTTTGCTGTTATATCTAATTTATATTTGTGTATGTTTTACTGTTTTAAATAAACTAATGCACAGAGTTAATCAATCCCCAGTGAGTGATTGATTATTTGAGGAGCAGTGGGAAATATCAGGCTGATGAGACCTATTGTGGTTGAACCATCAGCAGGTGAGTTAAACTACAGGTGAAACACACGGTCAGCAGTCTTAGGTTGTGCTAAAGTGCATGAGGCAAATCTCGATGGCTTTGTTTATTACCATGTCAGAGTGTGTTGAAAACACAGCTTGCTGGAACGCAGAAAAGTCTCTATTAAAAAAGGCAAGATATCAAGGTTTATGCTGGATTGATAGAAAGCATGCAAAGATTGAAGACATATTACCAAATGCTCACAAAGTTCCATAGTTTAAATTGGGATGCAACAAACCTCTTAACAGCATTTGATAAGTTTAAACAGCTTAGAGGTACAGTTTCTAGATTTGGGTCTGTCCAATGCAGAAAATTAAACAAATCAGATTTCCTTAGTGTTGCGAAATTGGGTAGAGTACTTGTGGATTGGGAGGCAGCAAGTTAGAAGTTGGTGTTTGTAAAATGCTAGGGGGGAAAGCATTGCATGGTTCCTTTAAAAGATGATGTGCTTTTTCTATGCTTAGAAATTTTTAAAAAATGTCTGTGTGTAGCTTGAAAGTCTGCAAATACAGAGAACACCCAAATTGAAACATTTGTATCAAAAGGCCATACAGTTAGCAGGCCAAGCAGCAGTTTTGTATTGATACTAAGACAACAAGTTTTGAATTTAGCCAATCAATTTGAACCAGGCAATTATATTCCAAAAACCAATTAAATTTAAATCTGATGGTTTTGACAACAAAGAAACTGATGTGTCATCAAGGGTATAAAAGGAGGGGCAGCTGGGCAAAGATGGGAAAACTAACTACCATCTGCCAGAGTTAACAGCTCTCAGCTCTCAAGAGAGAATCATTAGTTTCTATAAGTCTTAAAGAAAGCACCATCTAAGAAAAATCCAAGGTACCAATGGCACAACTAGATAATATTCCTGACAGAAGAATCAATGGAGGGAGCGTTCCTGACAGAACATTTAACAGAGAAGGCACAGAGCATTCTGGAAGACACGTAATCTCGCTATAATTTCGAGAAACTAAATTCTATTTTTACATTTTATTTTATAGAAGTGGGGCTTATATTTATTGGAACAGCATACTATTAAAATCTTGTTATCTTCAGGAATAGTTAGCAGTTTGAAGGGATTTATTCAGTTTGTTAATAATTTAGTTAATTTGTTCAAGTTAGAGTTAGATAAATAAATCATTACTTGTTTGTAAGACAAGTGTCAGGGTTTGTTTTATTTAACCACTGGAAATTGTTGGAAGGCAGGTTACACCACTTTTCACACTCCTTTTTCAGACTATAGGGCAAGGTACTCTTTGGGTGTTTCGGTTTTAGTTTTCAGAGAGGAGAGAGTCAATCTCTACTTTGTAACATTAGAAATTGGAAATAAAGGTTTAAGCCAATATAACCCCTCAGGATTAACAGCCAAAAAGCTAAAAGTTCCTCAAAAATTATAGCCCACACTAGTTCAGAGTCAGACTAAACTTCCACAATCATTGACCAGAATTCATGTCATTCAGAGAGAAATGAAGAGAATCCATAGTCAACTTTGTGAGAAGATGCCGAGAAAAAAGCTCATTAAAGGATTTTTCAGATGGGGAACTAGCAAATAGAAATTTTGAGTTGGTATTCTCATCTATTCCCAGAAGCTTTCTAGCAAGATTTGCTACACAAACCAAAGACTTAACGCATCAAGGAGTTGCTGAAAGATGTGAGTATGATGCAATTCTTGCAGATCAATGAAGCTTATAGATTCAAAGTATAAACAATTGTTGACATAATCACTAGCACACCCAAACCTAGCAAAACATGTGAAAGCAACATCTTTCTGTATGCATCAATTAATCACTCAGTTTTCAATCAGTTTTTGCAAGGTGTATGTCAGAAAAGGCCATTGGCCGTGGCAGTGCTCCAGTGTAAAGGCTTATGAAGAGCCGTGAATTGACTCAAACTGACCGCACACGAGGAATACCTTCAAACTCCATAAACACTAACCTGCCAGAACGTTTACATGAAGTGATCAACAAACCAGAATCTAACAATGTACATGATGAGACTAAGAATGGTGAATTTATGCTTCACACTGTCAATGGTGTGTAAAAGATCAATCTCATTGAACCATCTAAAGTGTTTGCAAAAATTCAAATTATCCGTCATCAGAAAACTAGTGACTATTTATTATTGGTTAAGGTTGAGACAGGGGTAAATGCCAATATATTACCCCTGTGATTATAAAAAAGACATAGGAAGCCATGATTGAACATTTACGAAGGTAAATCTTTCAGCATACAATGGTTCACCAATTTTCAACAAACAGAAAAAGTAACCCAAAGCTGATTTTTATTTTTGAGTTCTTTTCCTAGTTCACTGCTGTAGGTTGTAGCAACACAAACACTACCAAAAAGTGTGAGACCCACTACAGTTCAGGAATTAGACCTCCTACCTTCTGATCAGAATGACTCTCGTACTAGACTGGAAGTTCACAAAGGTCCTTAGTTTAAATTGGGACACAGCTGACCTCCTAACAGAATTTAGAGTGTTTAAACAGCTTATAGAGCTACAGTTTCTAGATTTGGGTCTGTCCAAGAGAGATAAACACGGTCAAGTGTGAAGGATGCTGCCCACTCAGTCACAGGGCATTAAACGTCATTAGGTTTATGGTATGTGTTGCATATACAGAATCCTGAATCTCAAAATATTTACATTTTCAGAGTAGTGTATGCAATGATAATTGTGGAGAATTTACATCTCTACATATCTACTGCAGTTAGAAAAATCAGTGAATCCAGCATAGGTTCAAATTCAACCATGGTAGTTGCTGAAATTTGAATTCAATAAAAACTAGAATTAAAAACAAGTCTAATAGTGACTGTAACCACTGTCAATTGTCATAAAAGTAAAACACCAAAGATGCTGGAAATCTGAAATAAAAACAGAAAGTACTAGAGAAACTTTTGAATGGACTTCTTAAATATTAATGTTGATCTCTCTCTGCACCTTCTCGGCTGCTTTAACACTGTATCCTGCACTCTGGTCTGTTACCCTAATGCACAGAATGATCTGCCTGTAGAGCATTCAAGGCAACACATTTTGCTGTACCTCAGTACACATCACAGTAATAAATCATATTAAATCAAATCAAATCAAATCAAAACTCAGTAGGTCTGGCAGCATCATGGAGACAGGAGCAGAGTTGATGTTTCAAGACCAATATAACTCTTCATCTGAAGAACACCATTGAGTTTCTCCAGCATCTTTTGTGTTACAGCAGCCGAGAAGGTGCAGAGAGATCAACGTTAACATTTAAGAAGTCCATTCAAAAGTTACTCCAGTACTTTCTGTTTTTATTTTAGATTTCCAGCATCCTTGGTGTTTTACTTTTATGACAATTGACAGTGGTTACAGTCACTATTAGACTTGTTTTTAATTCTAGTTTTTATTGAATTCAAAGTTCAGCAACTACCATGGTTGAATTTGAACCTATGTCCCGAGAACATTAGCCTTGGGTACTGGATTGCCAGCAGTGACAGTACCTCCCCCAGAACATGGAACCAACAAGTGGGCAGGTCTCTGTCTAAACTGATTCTGTATTTGAACATTTCACTGAAGGACAGCTCTGTATATTGATCTTATTGAGACCTTTCTGAAAAGTATCTCATGGCCCAAAGCATGCTAGGATCCAGTGTGACAAACTAAACTAAAATTATATTAAATATGATTAGAAAATACATCATATTTCTATAAAAAGGGAAGAGAAAGTGGACTTCTATGAACACTGGTTGTTAAAGGCAGGAATCAGTGAATCAAGAGTTTGTTGTGACTGTTCTTTAAGTACACTAAAGATTCTTTCACGTTGTTAAGGGTTGGCATGTAGTTTTGGCCAATGTACTAATTAAGTAGGAATTTACATGTCTTGCCTCATCTGCCCATGACAGCTTTCATTGTTGATTCTGTGATATGTGATCATTACAAGATTTACCTACTCAACAGAATGTTCTCTTATCAATGTGGACGTCAAACTGTACCTTGCAGGGGAGTTTTACTGCAGGAATAAATCGGGAGACACTGTCAGATAAGCCATCGTTAAAATGTCCAAGGTAGTGAGCATCAGATTTTTCTCTGTAGTTTACAGCACATTTCCAACTCTTAGACTCCAGGGATTCATGGAATAAATCTGTTTATGAAATACTTTTACAAGTCCTAATTAAGCAGCATGCAAATTTTTGTGTTGCGATGAATAATTAATGGTCTTGATAGCAGGACTCCAATTTGAGTTGTTTAACAGGAGCCGTTGGAGGTGTCGATGTTGTACTGGGGTGGACAAGGTCAGAAATCACACAGCACCAGGTTATAGTCCCACAGGTTTATTTGAAAACACAAGCTTTCAGAGCATAGCTCCTTCGTCAGCTTGTGTTTTCAAATAGACCTGTTGGACTATAACCTGGTGTCGTGTGATTTCTGACCTAATAGAAGGCGATGGAAGGTTTCATGTATCACTGTGTTGCAGAGAAAAGTAGCTGTAAATAACAAATGTCTTTAAGATGGATTGGCTGCACCAATGTCCAAACTGTTAACAAAGCTGTAAAGCACCATTGTTTGTATGATAACTGTTTTAATATGTACATAGCAGCAGACCGCATGGTCATTGCTGCACTAAAATAGATCAACTCAGGCTTCTGACTGGAAAAAATATTACAGGCAAACTTTGTTATTTACAAGATCAATAATACAGCAATCTGTGAATAAATAAAGCAAAGTGGAGGATACTGAAGAGGGCTAGACCAGGACCTAGATGGGTGATGGACTTCACAGAGTGGTTGTAAACAAGCTAGAATGGATACATGAGGAGGATGCATGTTAGGCAATAGGTCTACTGATTGGAGCAGCAGGGCAGGAATAAATGTAACAGACCAGTTTGTAACTAATAACAACACCCTTTGAATCCCCTTTAAAATACTGTAGCTTTAGTAATAGAGGTAAATGATGTGAATGAAAATAGAATTGAATTTATTGGGCTCTCCCAATCACTTGTGAGATTAGACAGTGATTAACCCCAGCCACATAGGCCAGGACAGTCTCAGCTTTGAGCACTGTTCTCTGCTGGATTGCTAATCTCAGCCACCTCAGTGAGATGCTGTCACAATTACCTCATGTCCTTGAATTGCAGAGGACAGCATGTGCCATGATCTCTCAGAAGGCACCTTCTAGGGTCTCCTTTGGGTATTCACTGTTATAAATGCTGAATGGAGACAATGTAAGAGTCTGACTTGGCTTATATATAAGTAGTAAAGTCTTTGGGAAAATGGAAATTAGAATCATACAATGTGGAAGCAGGCCATTCAACCCATCAAGTCCACACTGCTCCTCTGAAGACCATCCCACCCGGACCTACAACTTTGCATTTCCCATGGCCAATCCACCCAACCTGCACATGTTTGTGACTGCAGAAGAAAATCAGAGCATCTGGAGGAAACCCACACCAGATAGACACACACACACACACACACACACCTGAGGGTGGAATCAAACCCGGGTCCCTGGCACTGTGAGGCAGAGTTGCTAACCACTGAGCCACTGTGCTACCTGGCACTGTGAGGCAGAGTTGCTAACCACTGAGCCACTGTGCTACTGGCTTAATTGACAGGTGCTCTGTGGAATCACACATCAATAATTGGATAATGCATTCAGGAAAAGGAGAAAGGAAGAAAACGTGGCTGAAAACATCATTGCAAAGCTGGATTTGGTACTGCTCAGAAGCAGTTTTTTTTCCTTTATTCATTAACGGGATTAGGGCATCACTGGCTAAGCAGCATTTATTGCCCATACCTAATTGCCCAGAGGGCAGTTCAGAGTCAACCACATTGCTGTGGGTCTGGAGTCACATGTAGGCCAGACTGGGTAAGGATGGCAGTTTCCTTACCTAAAGCACATTAGTGAACCAGCTGGGTTTTTCCAACAATCACCAATGGATTCATGGTCATCATTAGATTCTTAATTCCAGATATTTTATTGAATTCAAATTCCACCACGTGCCATGGCAGGATTTGAACCCTGGTCCCCAGAACATTATCTGGGTCTCTGGATTAACAGTCCAGGGATAATACCACTAAGCCATTGCCTCCCCAATGAGATGCTACAACTCTGCTTGTATGGACGGTACAATTTCCCACAGAGACCCTGATGATCAATCCTCGGTTTGCAGAGGGCCACCAAGAAAAGCTATTTGGTACTCCATAGGGAGACAAGGAATGAAGTAATACTCACAATTCTCACATCCCTCTCCAGCAGCCTTTTAAAATAAAAGCATTGGCTTAGACATCGGAGTTGATTGCCAACATACAATTCACTGAGTTGGTGCAGAGTTGTGATCAGTGATACTGTCCATAACTCTGGCCCAGAAGGATGGGTTTAAGACCCACCTTTCCTGCGATCCTGAGAACACAATGCAAGTAAGGCTCAATCCAGTATGATGAGCATTTCAGATTGTTCAGCCTCCAATGTAAGCAATGCCAAGAGGTGGCCTACTAGTTGTCAGCTGCTATGTGTCTTAGCCAACTTGTTCTCGTTTCGTAATGAAGTAAACAGTGCATTATTATTGAGATGGAGAAATCTCTCATTCTTTATAAATTTTAAATGTTCATTAAATTCTAAAAAGCAATTTATCAAAAGAATTTTTCACAACAATGTAACGTAAAGTTATTCTTGATGTGATATTACATAATGTTACAAAGATTGGGATCTCAATATTGCAAGGTTGAAGATGTCTGGTATCATCAATAATGACTGCTTAATAATCATAAATGATGTGAAGCAAAAATTCCATTGATGGCCATATGAGTGCAGCTGACATTCTAGATGTACTAATCAGTTTGGTAGTATTTCAAATAGTTGCTGTGAGTGACCTTGTCACCAGTTGAAGTGCAAATGGATCAGCGCATCAAAAAGCTCAATTTAATTGAAATAATTTGAATATGTATTGAGTGCAGCAAACACTTTACCAGGAGATGTGATGATTGGGTTATATCATAAGCTAAACAACAGACTTGGTTTGCAAAGCATCAACATTTATATATCACCATTAAAGTAGTCAAATATCCCAAGATATTTTTCAGGAGCATTATCCAATAAAATATGACACTAGGCTATGCATTAAGACAAATGCCCAAAAGCTTGGTCAAAGAGAAAGGCTTTAAAGGGCATCTTAAATGATAAGAAGCAGAAACATTCATGGAGAGACCCTAGTGTGGGGCCCAGGCAACTAAAGGAATGGTGGAGCAGTTAACGTCATCATCTTATAAGGTCAGGCAGGAATGGCTGAGACCAAACGGAACAAGGGAACACGTAATTATAATGTGCTAATCAAAGGATAATTGGGGGAATATGGCATTTATAAGGATGAAGAAAAGGTAATTAGTGTGTTGAATTTTCTGTCGTGTGTTAGATTCTATCTGACCAGCATTTAGCCTTTAGTGTTTAACAATTAAAACTGAGCACAAGCAGAGGCCAGCATTGGAGGAACACAGATATCTGAAAGGGTTAAAGGGCAATAAAGAGCTGCTGAGAAAGTGAGGGCATGGCCCTGGAAGGATTTTAAAACCAGGTTCAAAGCCTTAAAATCGAGGCATTGTTCGGCCACAATGTTTGTCAGGGAGCATCGCAAATATGTCACGCTGTTATCATTTTTATTCTGATATATTGTTCATAAGATCAGTTTGCTGAATCTATGTGTATGGCATTTTTACCTGTATTACCAGCTATTATCTGTGCTGCATGAGTGCTGCAGACTCATGTCGAATGATGTAAAACTGACTGTAAATTGTCAGCCTTTGCAGCTCTTGATATCAAATAACATGATTGGTAATTTAGGGACAGTTTTCAGCAACTTCCCTGCAGCAATATACTTACACTGAGCTTCTTGGAGAGTCATTTGAATTCCAAGTTTGAATGAAAAATCTTATTTTAATGCTATTATTGCCAGTTTCCGCTTACAAAGCTCCATGTTCAGTCCTTGGTGGGGTAACCTGGTTAGAACTGCCACTTTTCTGAAATGTTATTAGATATCAATTGTAAGAAAATCTCTCTAGAGTCTACACACTAGCTGACCTGAAATTTTAATATGTACTAAGGAAAGGAACATCTATAAATGCTCATATTGCATTATCATTAACATGGTCATTAGAGCAAGGTCCCAATATTAGATGACACTGCTTGTATGATGATGGAAGTTAGCTCATCAGCACCATAGCTGAGTCCACGAGAGGGTTAATGAGGGTGTCCTTCCATATTAGAAGGATGGGCTCAAATCTCTGTGCTATGCCGTATGCCAAATTTCTGCTGGAATATCCCATATACTATGTCACTATCTGCAGGCTTTCTGGCTGACTTGTCCATGCACTGAGCATTTCACTGCACACACCCATTAGTCTTCTTCTGTAGACTGCCCCATCAAAATCCTAATCTGAGTCCTCTGCTGCAGGACTCATCTGTGACATTCGATGCGCTGCATTTTTGTTCCTCTTGTCCCTTGCCTGTCCCGTCCTGCCTGCTGACTGTTAGGTACAGATTTTGGCTTGAAGCCATCCTTTAAATTATGCACATTGTCAGCATCTGAGCTTCATGCTGTGAGTCTGACAGCAAATTACATTGTTTCTTCTTCATACTATCTTCTTGCTCTTCCAAATCTTGCTTTTCCACCAATGCCTGGTCTTTCAGGTTTTGAGTATCTGAAAGGAAATTCCCCAGAATAGGGTTGTGGTTGAGGGTTGGATGGAGAAAGTAAGAGGTACAAACAGGAGGCACCATCTGCTTCTTCAACTCAAAAGAGATTATGGGAGGAGGGGGAAATGAGATGCGACAAGGCAGATTAGATATAAGCTATCTTTGACTGTTTCATCTCCATCACTGAGTACGGACTTAGCTTTGGACCCAGCAATATTGGGAACGACAATCAGGGTAAGGCTGTACATAACTGCTGGTTAGATACTAATGTTTACAGCTATGAAGCGCCTTGTCCTGAAACAAAGAGGGGAGTATGTCAATAATTGTAATGCAATGTGTTTGGTGATGTGCCTGTCATGGTTGAATAGTTAGCGGTATGTCCAGCAGTTGGATGTGGGTGTGAGGTTTACAACAGTGCTACATCTGTAAGAGTGAGGTGAACCAAAGAGACTTAGCTATAAATTATGATTGATAGAGATTATTGGTTGGTGAGTATTCAAAGTGTGTTGCATTGAAATGTGGTATGATTGGAAAGATATGGCATTGGAAGTTATCTTCACTGATGTTGACCATTTGTGGAAGGTATTTGAGCCTTTTGAGGCACCACATCTAGATCTTTGGGGATGGACCCCTGGCATGAACCACCATGGCCAACTAATTCTACTGCCTTAATAGTTAGCTAGAGCGTCTTGTTTCCTGTTGATAGGTGGCAGCTTTCCTCTTCTTCTCCTCCTAGCCACAGTCTCTAGTATAGCCTCAGAAAGATTTGGAAGCTGGTATCTGCCATGTGGCATTACTGATCCTTCTCCTCATCAGACTCCCTCTCTGACTTCAGCAACTGCTCCAATCACAGTGGAGTTCTTCTCAAAAAGGGACAGTGGGTCTTTAAGCAGCTCAGTCTAATGACTTGTGCTAGCACCTCATAGTTTTGACCTCCCCTGCTCAGGGTGCAGCCACTCAGTAGTGCGGTACATAGAACTGGCTGCACACTGTAGTCATTTCAATTACTAGGCACATGAAGAGAATCTTGCATCACTATCTCTGCATTATGTTGGCTGCTATCGACTTTCATGGCTTCTAACTCCAAAATTTGTGGCAACTGAAACCGGCATTGCAAAAAGCATTTTGTTTTAAGCAACAGTCATTGGTGTTCATTTAAGAATATTAACATTGAGAGTCCTGCAACAGTTCAGAAGATTGCTTCTTGCCTGTTGGTATTACCAATGTTTTAGGCAATTTTTTGCTGTTAAGGAAATGCCAATCATTTAAAATGAAATATTTCAGAAACTTATTTCTATTCTTCCAATTTCTTCACTGACAGAAAAAGAAAATCCACTAGCTTGAGTGAAACTGAGAATGTTTACATTACCTTTATGGTCACCCCCATGCAGAACTATCAAATCTCTGTTAAAAAATTGCACACTTTTCTGTTAAAAAAAGCACTGAAGTACCACAGGGGAAGATTGATACAAACTGAAGATTATAATGTCAGATAGACTACAAGTCACCTTTGCAAGGATGTATACCCAGAGAAGGAGATTTAGATATTAATAACATGTATGGGCTTATTAATCTGAAGTCGAAACAATTCTGGATTGATTCTAGAGTTACAGAAACCATTTAAGTGAGACCTGGATAGATACAACATTTCTTCTTTGTCTTGTCATACTTGATCAACAACTTTTAGTTCCAGATTTGACGTTTCAAAACTATGCATTATATTTCTGTTGTACCTAACATTAATCTGCTAACAATTTCTGAGACCTAATCAGTTTCTGAAACTGACAGTGGAGACAAATAGCCTGGATATTTAGATTGAAAACCAAAAATCCCACCTGCAAAATAAATGGCCTTTCTAACATTCTTAATCTTTGCAAATCTTTTTGAAATGCTTCTCTCTCTCTCTCTCTCTCATCTTCTCGTTCACACCTTCCAAGATAAATTGTTGGAATTTGCTGAAGATATCCTCTCGCTTTCCTTCCAGGCCGGATCAAAGTGGCCTGCAGCATCCTCACTGAAAGCAGGCTTCCTCACATCTGTCACACCCGGTCCAGCTGCATGAACCAAGAGCAACCTTCACAGTCACACACCCACAACCGCTTTACACGATCGACTGTCATCACCTTCCCCCTGCTGTGAGCCAAGAGGAGAGGATCGGGTAACAGAGGCCCATGTACCTCGCACTTCAGCAGAGCAGACTCAAGTTTCTCAAGCGCACTTGTGAAGATTGACTAGAGCTAAGGATACATACAGTCTGTGTCCATTTTAATGGGATTGAATTTCAAACTGAGCTATGACATCGCAACAAAATAGCAACAAAACTATACTGTTTCAAATACCTTCCAACTCCCTGTACAAGAGTAAAACTTGAGAAATAAGCATGATTTTTGTTGAAGTTGCTAGCAATAAAATGCTGTAATTTCCAGCAGTGTTTAGCAGTGTGGTTAGCCTTGGTCTGTTACATTGAGTGTGCCTGAAGGCCATTCTTGTTCTGTTGGTGTTTAGACGCTGAAATTTAGCAACGATTCCGATGGCTTCACACTAACAAACTAATTAATTACTTACAGTTTCAATGATTTCATTTAAACACTGTTCCATTCCTAGTCTGATCCTTGAACACTTCACAAAGTAAGCACTTCTTTGCAAAAGTGGATACTGGCAATCAGTGACTTTTCTAATGAAAAACAGGATTTTATGGTTTGATTCCTGCAACAGCTTCAGGTGTTGGGGTGCAATGTGGAAGATGTAAACCAGAAATAAAGCAATAGAGAACTCTTTGATTTTTAGAATTAACAATTTTGAACATAGACACATAATGTAAACACATTTATATATTATGTAAATTAGGAAGTTCTGCGTTTGCAAAATCATTTGAAGTAAGTATTTTTACATTGTTTGATTGAAAGTAATTTCTGGGAATGAACTACTAAAATAAAACAAAGACCTGTGGATGCTGAGTTCTGAAGATGTTGCCACACCTGCTGAGTTTCTCCAGCAATTCTTTTTTTTAACATTTGGAATACTAAATTATCTGGATCCCTGATATAAGAACAAGAGTAACAATAATCTCCTTTGGTATTCTGGGAAATTAGATCACAGCCAGTAAATGTACAAACTGGCAGTTAACAACACAGACTGCTGAGTGCAGCAGTCAGCAGGAAATACCCTGCACTTTGTGCGTTTCATTTAACCTCATCTCTAATAATATAAAAACAGAAGGTGAACTAACAAACTTGGTCTGAAATTCTTCACTTAAACATCCATGAAATCATATCCTGTGCTCAAGTAGGTTAAGAAATTATCTTCATGCAAATCAAAATGACTTTTAATAGAGTTTATGTCATCTTGTTTCAACAGAAAGTAAACTAACCTATGAAAATACATTGGTGTGATCATTACAAATATCATACAGCGTTGATGCAATTTTTAATTAATTCTTGCCATATGAGCATTGCTGGCTAGGCCAGCATTTATTGCCCTTCTCTAATTGTCCTTCTGGTACATACTCAGTAATGTTAGGAAGGGACTTCCAGGGTTTTCATAAAATCCCTACAGTGTGGAAAGAGGTACTTTGGCCCAACAAGTCCACACCGAACCTCAGAGCATCCCACCCAGACCCATTCCCCTATAACCCACCTAATCTACACATACCTGAACACTACGGGCAATTTAGGATGGCCAATTTACCTAACCTGCGCACTTTTGGACTGTGGGAGGAAACCTGTGCAGACATGGGGAGAATGTGCAAACTCCACACAGATGGTCACCTATGGGTAGAATTGAACAGTGTGAGGTAGCAGTGCTAACCACTGAGCCACCGTGATTTTGATTCAATGATGCTGAAGGAACAATGCTATATTTCCTGGTCAGGATAGTGAGCAGCTTGGCGGAACTTGCAGGTAGTGATGGTCCCATGTATCTGCTGCCCTTGTCCTCTAGATGGTGGATGACACAAGTTTGGAAGGTACTATCTCAGGAGCCTTAGTGAGTTGTTCCAGTGCATCTTGTAGATTTTTTTTTTCTTTATTCTTTCACGGGATGAGGGCGTCTCTGGCTAGGCAGCATTTATTGCCCAGAGGGCAGTTAAGAGTCAACCACATTGCTGTGGGTCTGGAGTCACATGTAGGCCAGACCAGGTAAGGATGGTAGTTTCCTTCCCTAAAGGATATTAGTCAACCAGGTGGGTCTTTTCCTACAATCGAGAATGGATTGATGGTCATCATTAGATCCTTAATTCCAGATATTTTATTGAAATCAAATTCTACCGCCTGTGTGGCAGGATTCGAACCCGGGTCCCCAGAATGTTATCCAGGTCTCTGGATTAACAGTCCAGCAATAATACCACTAGGACAACAACTGTACATCAATGGTAGATAGAGTGAAAGCTTATTGTGCTAGATTTATCCTGAATGTTGTCAAAGTTCTTGAGATGCACTCATCCTGGCAAGGGGAGAGTAATCCATCGCATTCCTGACTTGTGCCTTGTAGGTGGCGGACAGACTTAGGGGAGTCAGGGGGTGAGTTATCCACCACAGAATGCCTCATTTCTGACCTCTTGTAGCTGGAGTATATATATGGCTGGCTCATTTCAGTTTCTGGTCAATGGTAACCCCCAGGCTGTTGATAGTTGAGGTTTTAGCAATGGTAATGCTATTGAATGTCAAGGGGCATTGGTTAGATTCTCTCTTTTGGAGATAGTCATCAACTAGTACTTATGTGGCTTGTTTGTTACTTGCCACTTATGAGCCCAAGACTGATGTTGTCCAGATCTTGCTGAATACAGACATGGACTGCTACAGTTTCTGAAGAGTCATGGATGTGGTTCAACACTGCTCCATCATTAGTGTACATCCCATTTCTGACTTTATGATGGAAGGTAGGTCATTGATGAAGCAGCCAAGGATAGTTGGGCCTGGGACACAAGTGATGTCTAAATAATGTTTCAAAGAGTCAAAGTATGAATAGCAAGTCTGTACCTTTATTCACTAATTCTGTCCACATTGCTCAATAGTGTAAGATTTTCTGATGTATTATTTAGCCTTTTCTAATATAAGTCAATATATTTTTTGTTTCTTCTAAAAGTATGCTATGATGCTGACGGCCACAAAGCTGATTAAGCCTCATTACAACTTCTTGCAATTCACACCATATAGTGTAGGAAGGACCATGTTTTTAAAAAAATCCTAGGCACTGAGCATTCAACTTTGCATGCAAAATGAAGATGAAACGTATTCAGATTTACATTCACAGAAGACAGAGCATCTCAGAGATTATTCTTTAAATGGAACTCATCCAGCTAAAGTTGTATTTGATACATTCATGATACTATTCATTAAGAGTACTAGAAAAATAGCTGCCACCATGTTAGATGACCAGTAAACTCCATTAAAATCTATCTCATCACTGGGTATTTACTTTTATACTTTATATAGCCTGATTAGCAAAGTTGGGAAAGAGTCACACGTAGCCTCATTTTTTTTAAGCTTTGAATCTAAAAGCTAACCACATTTGAGTTTTGAGCCAATCAGTCACATTTGATCTGATTTGATTAACAAGAAACCTAATTTTCTAGGTGGCTGTAGGTGAGAAAGCTGACTGAAGCCAGGAATGCTTTTCACAGATCAGTCTTCTCTATAAACTGTATTGACAAATACTGAATGTCCTGGAATTCTTACAGTGCAGATTAGATGCCATTTGGCCCATCAGGTCTGCACCAGCCCTTCAACAATCCATACACCATCCCCATACTCCCCTCATTTACCTAAACTGCACACCTTGGGACAGTGGGAGGAAACCAAAGCACCCATTGGGAACCCATACAGATATGGGGAGAACATGCAGACTCCACACAATCACCAAAGGCTGGAATTGAACTTGGGTCCCCAGTGCTGTGAGGCAGCAGTACTAACCATTGAGCCACCATGCCACCCCACTCAAGTTTTATTTTAAACTACCAAAAGTTGAACATATTTCGTTCTCAATTTTGTTCGGCACCCAATTAACTGAAACATTTAAAATAATTTTGCTTGCAGCTTCAAGAGGAAGATGCAAAATTTTCTGTTGTGATTTTTTTTGCATTTCTTATCCATCCTTAAATTCCTTTGATCTGATTGGCTTAAACTTGGCTTTTCAGAAGACAGCTAAGAGTCAGCCATGTTGCTGTGAGTGGCCTGGAGTGACATGTAAGTCAGAGTAGGTAAGGGTGGCTGATACTTTTCCCTGAAGGGCATTTGTGAATTAGATGGGTTTTTACAATAATCAGTGATGGTTGTCATGATTGCCATTACTGAGACTAAAAGGCAATTACAGATTTATTAATTACATTTCAACTCCATCATTTGCAATGGTGGAATTTGGATCCATGTTCCAGACAATTAGCCCAGGCATCTGGATTACCAGACTTCCTAGTGACATTGCTACTGTACCTGCATTTCTCCAACCAATTGCAAAAAATGACGTACATTTTCAAACATTAGTTCTCACTTATGGCATTTTCTTAAAAAAAAAATTTGTGCATTTTGTTTGGGAGCAAATTCAATGCCGTGATAATGTGAGGAAACCAAAGTAATTCACACAAATGAAGATACTCTGAAATAAAAACAGAAAATGCTGGAAATAATCAAAAAATGTGAAGAGAGAACAGGGTTCATGTTTCAGATCTGTGACCTTGCATCTGAACTGGGAAAAGTTAAAAATGGAATCAATTTTGAGCAAATGGAAAGGGGGAGGGGGTGGGGGAGGGGGAGAAAAAGAGGCAGAGAGAAGGTTTTTGATGATGTAAGTTTGAACCTACTCAGGTTTAATGTGTACCTTCTGATAATGAATCTGCAGTTCTGCACTATCCAACCTTTCAAGTCAACATCAATAATATGTTGTACAGATATAGTGACTGAATGTAGTGAAATATCTGATGGCACATCAGCGTTTATTGTCAAACCAAAAGAATTTAAAAGCACTGAAATGTAGACCTTAATACAAATTCTTGATCTGTCTTTAAAATTATTTGTCACAACTCCTCTCCTCCTGTACCTCTGAAGTGAGCATGGCTCCTGATATCCTTTAGCACTGGAGCTATGCAGATGTATTTTTTTGGTGAATCGACAGAGTTGGGGCTAACAGGCAATTTTGCCAATTTTTATCTCACCTGATGCTCTCAGTTGCATTCCTTGTAGCAGAGGTCAGGTCGAACTTTCCCCAAGTTTGTCTTGATGGCTTTCCAACTCTCCACACCCCATAAATTAAAATCTGGAATATACATGTGTGCAAGTATATGTCCATGTATATATTATACCTACACATAGATATGTTTGAAAGGTATTGGTACATTTACA